GTAAGCTGCTTGCGTTGCATGTCGCCTTGCTCCACCCCTGTTTTATTGCTTTCTCTGCTTTCGCCCGGTTCCCGTCCCGTTTCGGCGGGGAGTCTATGTTGCAAGCTAGTTCTTGCTTTACCAGACTTTAAGCCCACACAAGCAAGCGGGGTGACTGTAACACCTGGTGCCCGCTGATTTTGAGGCCCTGGGCTGTGCCCCCGCCTCTTGGGTTGGCAGCCTTGGCCCAGCCCACCCCTTTTCTTCTCCGCCGGCGGCCGTGTTCGGCTCCGCCCCCCTCCTGTTCCTCCCCCTGCTTGATCGTCTGTCAGCTCCGCTGACCCTTCCCCGCCTTTCTCCTGACTGTGCCCTCCTCACTCCTTTTCTGGTGTCCGTCTTCCCTCTTGCCCATCTTCTGCCTGCCTGCCCGCCCTGTGCCCGCCGCCTTGTTGCCGCGCTGCTCGCCTGTTGTGCCGGCTTGCATCTGGTTGCCCGTGCGTTGTCGGCTGCTGCCTGGCTGTGGTGCTCCTTGGCTGGCTATTGCGCCGTGCGAGGTGTGCTAGGAACCAGTGGAGGTGGTTGCGCTTTTCCGCGGTCGCCATCGGGGACCCGCCGGCTGTGTGTTGCAGTGCCTGTGCGCCTGTGCCTGCTCGTGCGCTGCTGTGCCTGCCGCGCTGCCGCTCGGTGTGCTTTCTCTGGCATCCCCCTTTCTTCCCTCTCCTCGTTGGCAGCTGGCTGCCCCCTTCTCCCGTGTGATCTGACCTGAGCCTTGACCCCCTGTGTCGCCTGCCCTCTGAGGCGGTTCCCGCCCGCCCGCCTGGCCGCTCCTCCAGCTTCTGTGCCGGGGTGGGTGGCGTCTCTGAGCCGCTTGCGCCGCCTGCTGGCGGTCCAGGCCCTTGATCCCCTCTTTCCCCCGTGTCCCCTCCTCGCGACTCTCTGACAGTCATTGTGCTGGCCCCCAGGTACTGTCCGCTTTCCAGTGCACCACAATAAGCAAAACATTGGTTGCAAGCCAGGAAGTCAAGGGCGCCCCAATGTTACTCCTGCTCCTCTTCATCAGCATGCGCGTTCCTCTCCATTGGCCGCTTCCCCTTCCCGGGCTCGCGTTGCTCCTCCTCTGCCGCGCTCCCACCACCGCCGCCGCCCTCCGACTTTGCCTCCGACACGATCTGCACGATGTCGGCGCCCATCTGCGCCGCCTCCAGGCGCACCGGGAAGTGCGACACCATCACGCCCGTCAGCGTCACCTTGTGCCCCCCCGACGGCACGCCGCCAGGCTGCGGCGAGATCTGCACGCGGATGCGGCACCGCTCGTGCTGCGTGACCTGCACATCCGTGCGACGGGGCAGGGGCCGCAAGGAATGAAGGGACGCCCAGTCGGCATGGTGGAGGCTGGAATGGGACCCTGATGTAATGGCATCCCTGCCCATGCTCGCCCCGCACACCCTGCCAAGCCCACCCCTCAAACCCACCGGAAATTTGTGCATCTGCTGCAGGGAGGCGGGCACGTCCCAGGTGCTGTCGATGGCGCCCGGCACGCAGCGGCAGCCGCCCGCGGCGCAGCTGATGTTGGCCAGGCCCATGCGCTGGTACGAGCGCAGGTAGGTGAGGTACACTGTGGCATACGACGCCTGCGGGTGGACGGTTGCATTCCCGGCCGCCGCCTCGCCTCCCCCCGCCGCCTGCCGGCTGTCGAACTCCAGCTCCGCCCATGCCCCCGGCGCCGCCCCCGTCCACCCCCACTTCTGCCGCACAAAGGTGGCGGCGCGGGGGCGCTCCGCCCGGTACTCAAACCCGGAGCTGGCCACCACGGCGCCCTTGAAGTCCTCCTGCAGCCCTCAGGGAAGATGCGGGCGGGCGGTGGGGGGCCGGGGGGCCGGGCGCCGGTGCCGTTGTGCAAAGTGGGGAAGGGCAGCATGGCCGGATGCAGCGGGCTTGTAGTGCAGGGCCTCGGCACCCCAGCCAGCCCACACCTGTCCTTCCCCCCACCCCCACCTTCCCCCACCTGGATCGCGCACAACGTGTTGGTGGCGTCGGCGTTGCCTGGGATC